GTAATCTACAAGCTGATAAAATAAAAAGGCACTATGATCCTAAGGCCTTCATACTGCTTGAAAAGTTTGGTTATGACTTCTCCAATCCATTACAACTAGGAGAACTCAAAGACGAAGTCAGATATGAAAAGATACATGGGCTCAATGAGTCCCAAATGAAGTTGAGAAAGCAGGGGCACTACGTCGCCACTGTAAAGTTTGGGTTGGGGTTCAGTTTGGCAGAGCCTCTTCGAATTTCATCAAAGAGGAGCAAAGAGATAACTTCATCACAATACACCTCGGTAGAGGAGATGAAGGAAGTTAAGGGCAAGAAAATAAAATGGCGGGCTTCAGTATTTGATCGCATTGGAGGCTCAATCCCTCCGGTCTCAGTGTTTGAAAGGCTAAGTCACAAAGGTGAACGTGTATCTGTGAGCACGTGATTTTTGCCCTATATATGAATTATTCCCACAAAATTCGAACAAAAAGATTTTTCTTTATTTTTACAATTTTTGTGCATTTTTGTGTCATTTTTTGATAATTGTTTGCATTTTGTTTGTGCATGTTAATTCATATAAAAATCAAAAAAATATGCATCTGCATTTAGGATTTTATTTCATATTTTACTATTAATTAGGGATTAAGTTGTTTTAAAATAAGATATGAAAAATGACAAAAATAGTTCACTTTAGCATTTTTTTTGCTTTAATTATGAAATTGTCGCAAAATAGTTTTAAAGTAATTCTACACATTAATTAGTTTAGTTTAATTTTTATTTTTATTTCTTCAATCTTTATAAATCAACAAAAAATTATAAAAAATTACAAAATAGAAAAAAGAATAAAAAGAGAGAAATAATTAAAGAGATTTGAATAAATAAGGAAAGGGAAGAAAAAAGAATAGGATGCCCAAAATTGGGCTCGTTGCCTTCCAGCCCAAGGGAATTAATTCCCTTCCCACGCCCAGGCCCAATACCCCCGCCCGGTCCAGCCCCCAGCTCACCCGAAACGACGCCGTTTTCAGGAATCAGTAATCCCAGCCCTTGATTTCCCTCTCATCCGACGGCCCATGATTTTTTGAGGGTAAATATTAAACAGTCGTTTGGATTAATTAAAATCAAAGACCAAACTGGTCTTCCTCGTACCAGCCCTAATCCTCGCCGGAATCCCTCGCCGGCGGGAAACGCAACCAACGCCGATGACCGCCAAATTAACACCATCGATTCCCCCCAACCTCCTCTTTCCATTCCCCATGTTCCTATACCTCAAATCTACCCAGAAAGCTTCGAATATCCGTTCGAAGTTTTCCGGCCAGTGCGTCACCTATGCCAAATGACCCCGAATTTACACCATAGACTCGCCTTAACCTTCTCGTCCCTAATACCCAAGCCGTGTTCCTCGAATCTGGCCGGAACGGTTCGAATTTGATTTTTTTTAATTTTCCGGCCAAGAACCCTAACCCAAAATCTTTGTGATTTTGGACCGTAATATCCTTAACCAGGTGTTTTCTTGTGAAAACATATGGTTGGGGATGTTACATGTCAAAAATCTTGAAAGATTCGGACGTCGGCGGCTGGCCGGAGTTCCTATTATTAGTAAGTTTCTTGTTTTTATTTTTCTTAATTAATTTCTTTCTCATTTTCCGTTATTCTGCATGTTGAAGTTTAGGGCTCAGCTTCTTAATGTTTAATTTCTGTTTGTTCTTTGTTGACTTTTACTGTTATTTTGGTTGTGTTTTGCTTATAGTTGTTTCTTTATCTTTAGATTAGTTTGATTATGTTTTGGTCTTGATTAGTCTATTGGCTGGATTTTAGCTTTGGGCAGAAATATTTGGCTCGATTGATTGGTTTAGGATTAATGGTAGTTAATTAAGACTAGTCCGTTGGTTAATCAGAAACAAAAGGGAATTCGGGCAGTTAATTATTTGGTTTAGTTCAGGGAAGGGGTAAGGGTAGTTTGGGGAATCAGCAAAGAGGAATAAAATTATACTGGGGAGGTCACATGTGGGCAAATTTAGGTCTTATTTAGGGGAGGGTAGGTGATAGAAGTTTCTAGCATTTTTGTTTGCCTATAAATAGGCATTGAATTGCCTTGAGGAGGGGGTTGGTTGTTTTTTTTTGGAGCTTTCAGCCTAAGAAATCCCAAAGTTTTCAGCCTCCAAAACTCCCCTTCATAACTTTCTCTCTAATCTCCAGATTTGATTTGAAAATCAAATAGTCAAAAACCCAAAAACAATAGAAAACCTTCAAAAAATCAAAAAAAAAAGTATTGCTCCGTTAGAAATTTCAGGATAACTTCAGCTCTTAGATAGTGAAATTGGACTGATCCTAGGCTGCTGAAGTTTCAGTCATTCGCTGATTTGTTTTCAAGTGGAATTAGACTCATATAAGCTGATTTTGGGTCAAGTGTTGGTCTGTTCAAGCTGTGTTGATTGGTTTGGTACTATTCAAGCTGTCTCGATTGGTCTTTGTGTTTGATTTGGCGTGAAATTTCCTCTGGATCATTTGACGTCATCTCCTGGGTTGATTCACACTGATTTTGCTGTTGGAAACTGTTACTGCTGCTGATTCTCTTCTTTGTTCATTGCAATTGATTTTCAGGTACACACTTAAATTTGCCCTGATGTAACCTTCAGTTGGAGTGAAATGAAGCCCTATTTCCAATCTCGCTCATGCTATAACATGCCTGGACTGTTAAACTAGTTTAAATTGGACTATGATGTAAGGCTAGTTGATTATAGGGTAGATTTGTGGTTTAATTCTGATCTGAATGTAATTAATTGGACTGTAACGGGACTGCCTGGACTGTTTTTGATTGATTACAAGTGTCATCTGTTAGTTGATTGGCTGTAATAGCTAAATTGAAGTTAGTTTCATGTTAGTTGTTAGACGAAATAGGAGCTGGTTGTTCTGCTGTGTCTGTATTGCGCAGGTTCATAGGTTAGATTAGGTAGAGTATAAATAACTGGAATATTGTGAGTAGTTGGCATTGCTGTAGATTTCTAAATTTTTAGCTGTATCTGACTATTGATATTGTTAGCTTAATATAGTCTTAAGGATGGTACTTCTGAGCAACCAAATGTTCAAATAGGTAAATACTTAAACGAAATTTTTTGCATGTCTTTGGATATAAAATCAGGTTGTTAGTCATTCTGTATACTGTAAGTGAATTTTGATTCCATGATTGAGATTTCAGTTTTCAAAAGTAGTCATCTAGGGCCTCAATAAAAATCAGAAAAAAAACATGCAAGTAGCTCGAGTAATAAATTGCGTTGTTGAATTGAATCGTGATTAGTAATTATCCAGGTTGCACGTTGCATGTGAGAGTGAATTTTCATAACTAAGTGGGTCTGAATTTCAGAACGTCTGTGAAGTAGCTAAGTTGAATTATAAATGGACATGGAATTTATCTTACTGGGTTCGAATGTTGGGCCCAAACAGCTGCCTGCAGCTTTCAAGTCGAGACACCTTCCAGCCCAGGCCTACGATTGGCCTGCCCTGTGGGCACACCTGATTAATGGCCCTTTACGTGGGTTGCATTCAAGGCCCAGAACGACTTAAGGATTTGATTACATATGAGTTCATGGACCCAAGTATAATAACTCTTAAACAATGTCAAATTAGGACTTTTCTTTTATTACTAGAGACAAAATAGAATAGAAAATCATGGTCCACTTTAAGATTGGCCTTTAAACAATAAAACGAGATGAGCCTCGCTAAATGAAACATAGATAAATTGCGGGGCCCTCGATAAATGTTTATACTAAAATACTTAGACTTCGGGATAGGTCGTTTAGCGAATTTCGCGGCCTTCCCCAAAGATAATAACTCGTTAGTCACTTTAGGCGCGTTTTTAATAATCTTACCTTCTTAATTACGGGTGCACATTTATGTGACCCAAATTCAAATCTCAACGAAGTCGAAATGTGTCAAAAATCGCGGGTGCATTTATGTGACGCGATTCGAGACATATTTTCATGACGTTGCAATTCTCTTAAACTAATAACATAAAAGAGGTTCAAAGTTAAAAAGCATGTAAGATAAGACATGTAGTAAAATCAAATAAATAAGCCAAATATGACAGTTGAGCGACCGTGCTAGAACCACGGAACCCGGGAATGCCTAACACCTTCTCTCGGGTTAACAGAATTCCTTACCCGGATTTTTGGTTCGCGGACTGTTAACAGAGTCATAATTTCCTCGGATCGGGATTCAACTGGTGACTTGGGACGCCATTAATCTCCCAAGTGGCGACTCTGAATATTAATAATAAATCCCGTTCCGATTGTCCTTTAATTGGAAAAACTCCTTTACACCCTCACAGGTGTAGAAAAAGGAGATGTGACAGTATCTTCCAAACATCTAAAAGAAGTTTCCACTACCTCAAAGACCTCTGTATTTTGTCGCCTAGGGACCACAAGGAAGTCACTATCTAGAAAGATACTTTCAAAACATAAGGAGCAAGTCCATGAGGAGCGGGATCATTTTGAAGTTGTTGCTGACAAAGAAATCTATAGTGCTTTCCCATCACGTATGAATAGGAAGTCTATTTGTTCAATATCCGCAGATGGTCCGCTGAAGGTGCAAAAGGAGAACCATTGTTTACACTTGCCAGCCTCATAAAGAAGCAAAGAAAGAGAAATAAGCCATACCGAACATCCAAGGAAAAAAAAGAGAAAAGTCAGACTTTGTGGAAACATCCTATCACATAACTGTGGAAGATAGCCCATGCCTTAACATTGATGATGAAGTTCATGAGGCTCCCCCCTCAACTAGAAGATGGCAGGCAATCAACTGTGGATGAGCTTAAGGAACCCAATTTAGGTACTTGAAAAGATCCATGACTCACCTTCATTAGTGCGCTTCTTACGCCTCAAGAGGAGGATGAATACTCCAAGTTGTTGACTGAGTACAAAGATGTCTTCGCTTGGTCATAAAAAGAAATGCCTGGTCTTAGTCTTAAGGTAGTTGTTCATCATTTAAGGATCAAAGTGGAGCACGCCCTGTGAAGCAATCAGAACGCATGTTTCGACCTGAGCTTGTACTACAAATTGAAGTCGAAGTCAACAAGCTCATTGAGACAGGATTTATTCGAGAGGTAAAGTACCCATCATGGATATCGAATATTGTACCTGTCAATAAGAAGAATGGTCAAATACGTGTTTGTATTGACTTTCGAGACCTAAACAAGGCATGTCCAAAAGATGACTTCTCGCTACCAATTATTGAACTCATGGTTGATGCTACAACAGGGCATGAAGCTATGTCATTCATGGATGGGTCCTCCAGATACAATCAAATCAGAATGTCTCCAAATGATGAAGAGTGTACTGCTTTCCGAACTCCAAAAGGGATATATTGCTTCAAAGTGATGCCCTTCGGTCTGAAGAATGCCAATGCCACCTACCAACATGCGATGCAAAACATCTTTGATGATATGCTTCATAAGAGTGTTGAATACTACGTCGATGACTTGGTGGTGAAGACGAAGAGTAGGTGTTACCACCTTGAAGACCTTCGAATTGTTTTTGAAATGTTAAGAAAATTCGACCTGAAGATGAATCCACTCAAGTGTGCATTTGAAGTTACCTCAGGAAATTCTTAGCTTCATTATGCGTCATCGTGGTATTAAAGTTGATCCTGCAAAGATTGATGTCGTTCAGCAAATGCCCAAGCCAAAGAACTTGAGAGAGCTTCAAAGTCTCCAAGGAAACTTTGCATTTATCCGGAGGTTCATCTCTAATCTAGCCGGACGGTGTCAACCCTTCAATCATCTATTGAGGAAGGATATCCCTTTTCATTGGGATCCGTCATGTCAAAAGCTTTTGAAAGCATAAAATAATACTTGTTGATCCACCTGTATTAGGGGCGCCAATGCTTGGGAAGCCATTGATACTCTACATCACGGCACAGGAATGTTCACTGTGAGTACTACTTGCTCAAGAGAATGAGGAAGGAAAGGAACAAGCCTTGTACTACCTTAGCAGAACTTTGATGGGAGCTGAGATGAACTATACGCCTGTTGAGAAAATATGCTTAGCGTTACTTTATGAAATAAAGAAGCTAAGGCATTATTTTGAAGCATACACCATCAAACTCATCTCTCGAGCAGATCCCGTGAAGTTCGTGATGACTCAACCTGTTCTTTTTGGATGCCTAGAAAGATGGTCCATATTGTTTAACCAATATGAGATCACATACACACCTCAAAAAGCTGTGAAAGGACAAGCACTACCCAATTTTCTGGCTGATCACCCTCTTTCGGCAGAGTGGGAGCTTTCAGATGAGTTTCCAGATAAAGACGTTTTGTTCATCAAAGAGTTTCCACCATGGACAATGTTCTTTGATGGATCTACACATCGTAACGGTGCGGGAGAAGGAGTTGTGTTGATCTCTCCAGAAAGACAAGTCTTGCCATTCTTCTTTGTTTTAGGTGAAACATGTTCCAACAATGCCGCAGAGTACCAAGCTTTGATCGCCGGTCTCGAAATGGCATTAGACATGAAGATTCTACAATTGGAGATCTACGACGACTCTAAGCTTATCATCAACCAAGTGTTGGGGAGTTACGAGGTAAAGAAGGAAGATCTCTTTCCATACCACCAATATGCTTCTTGTTTACTCGAAAGATTCGACCAAGTGTTCTTCCACGTCCCAAGAGAAGAAAATTGCATGGCTGTTGCTTTGGCTAACTTGGCCACGACGATGGCACTTGGAGAGAATGAGTGAACAAAGGTACATATGTGTCATCGATGGTTCATTCCTACACTTCTTGATCTTCAAATCAACGAAAGTCACATTGATAGAATACCTTGAACACAGAAAGTTCCCTGAGGATCCACGACAAAGAATAGATATCAAGCGGAGGGCACCACGATTCATCTTCTACAAGGGGACATTATTTTGTCGCTCCTTTGAAGAAGGACTATTCTAGTGATGTCTTGACAAAGAAGAAACCCACCAAGCGATGGAGGAAGCACATTCTGGCTCATATGGAGCACACCAATCTGGTCCAAAGCTCCATTTTCGAATCATTGTGTGGATCATGCCAAAAGATGTCAAGCGTGTCAATTTCATGCCAACTACATCCACCAACCTACAGAGACTCTTCATCCAACTGTAGCTTCATGGCCTTCTGCTGCATAGGGACTTGACGTTGTTGGACCACTTCCAAAGTCATCAAAGGGACAAATGTACATATTGGCTGCTACGGAGTACTTCTCTAAATGGGCTGAAGCTGTTCCACTCAAGGAGGTGAAAAAGGAAACCGTTGTCGATTTTATCAAGTCATATATAGTTTTTAGGTATGGCATACCAAGATACATAATCAATGATAATGGGACGCCATTTAACAACAAGCTCATTAAGAGTCTGTGCGAGAAGTTTGGTTTCAAACAACATAATTCTTCAATTTATAATGCACCCGCCAACGGCCTTGCTGAAGCTTTTAACAAGACGCTTGGTAACCTTTTGAAGAAAGTTGTTGCAAAGAACAAGAGAGACTGGCAATGGTAAAAGACTTGGCG